TGAATTAAGCTATTTTCCATTATATCATCGATATTTTCAATAAAAAAAATAAACCTCTTTAATCAATGGAAGACACTAAATTAAGAAATCAACAAATATTTTTCCAGTTTTGTTGTTTATACATTTCAATTTATACTTTCAATATATAGATTAACAACAATATTAGGTTATACTTTTGTTGATGTTTCTTGGTTTTATTACTTGGATCCTTTACACATAAACTTATTGTTTTATATAGATCAGTGTTAGGTGTTTGCTTTTTGTCATTTAATTGAAACCTAATTTTTTTTGTATCTGTGTCTGGAACATTTTAATTAATTTGACTTCAAAAAAGAACCTGCTGTAGTATATGTAGAAGTCCTTGTTCATGGCTTGGGTGTTTCATCATAGTTATAAGTCAGTTATAGCACTGTTTTGTTGTTGCTTAAAATATGTTGTTTATAAAGTAACTGATTAGTATACTTATAGTTGAGGTACTAAAAATTATATATAGGTATAGCAGTGTATGAAAAAATAAAAATTTATTATTTTATGAGTTTTGGGGCACTTTGTCTGTTGTCAGATGCAGCTAATTAACTTAATATAATTAGCCAAATTCTTGTAGTCTAACTGATAATAATTTGCTTCATGATTCTGAAGTACCCAGATTCATTTTTTGGCAACTGATGGTCTGGCACCTCCTTTAATCTGGACAAAATTACGAGAGCGCATTTGAAATTCCCGTGACCGCCAGACTAATTCACTGGGTGGCCACAGATGGTATTATGTGTAGCGTGCACCCTTTCTGGATGGGCTACTTACATTTTAAGTAGGTACATCACTCTCGTGAAACTTTTCTTATAAATATTAAACTAGTGGATCAAATTGCTTGAAGTTTTTCACGAATGTTGCCAAGAATATGTAGTTTAACATAGTAGTAGTAATCCTGACAGCCCTCAGCTTCCAGACCTTTACGAGTAGCTCTACACTTCTAGTAAAATTCTAAAATTTGCCACTTTGGAAGTGGTACTACTGCAACATTCTTTGTAAGTACAGTAATTAATAAACCTTTTTCATTTCATATTTATTTTATTTAAGTTTCTAGCAGTCCATGGTGCTTTAGATAGACAGGACGGGTATAATTAGTGGGTCAGAGGTGTATTGTTGAATTATTATTATGTGACCTCTGTTGGTCCGGCAAGGCTCTGGAACCAAGGGTGCCAGAAAATCGGTAGTGTACCTGTAGAAATAACTGACATAAATTAACTTGTTTATTGCAGAGAAAATTACCAGCATTAGCCAGAGTTAAGCAAGCTCGAGTTCCAAATGCCTATGATAAAACTGCCTTAAAGCTTGAAGTAAGTATCTTTATTAATACTTTTGCTGTTCACTGTTGAACTTTTCTGTCTAATTTGAATGCTACACTTAAGATATTTTAAAGTTAAGAATGATTATTCTTTGGTAAAGTTATTGTCCTACTGTTCATAATACCTAAATTTCTAAATAACTTTTTTTTTCCCCGCAAAAGGAGTATTTTTTAATAATGAATAATATAAATGACATTACAAAATTTTCTGCATAAATTATTTTTATCTATCATCAGTAGAGTCTAAGTTGATGTTCCTATTAAAGAAACATGTACCATTGTTTGCTGTTGTAAAATTTAATAATTATGCCACTAATAAGCATGTCACCAACATCAGTTTGTTTTGAAAAGTTTGGTTAGAAGATCTACCTTTTTTTATACATTTATATAAAGTTTTTGTCCCACATAGTATATAAGTTTTATATAAAATGCATTTTTATGTTTCATTGTTACTGTTAAGTATAATAATTAATATGTTTTTGACTTTATTATAGTATTAGTTTATGAAGAAATTTTTTATCATAATTTTTAAAATTTTGTTTGGACATCTGTATGTTAAAGATGGATATTTTAAGCTTTAATCTAAGTGTCTTTTCCAAAAACTTATGTACAGCACCACAACTAAAAAAGTCCAAAAGAAAAAGCAAAAAATATCAAAGTTAAAAAGCATTTCACAAAGAAAATTATTGTTACATAGTTCTAGTACTGTTTTAAATCAAAATATGTCTCTCTAGTGAACCTTTAGTATCACAAATTATTTCTTATTCATTTATTTGTAGCACCTCAATATAACATCAGTTTTTCTACCATGTTACTTACAGCACCACAACATAAATTTTGCTTCTTTCTACCATGTTACTTGCAACACTACAACATAAATTTTGCTTCTTTCTACCATGTTACTTACAGCACCACAACATAAATTTTGCTTCTTTCTACCATGTTACTTACAGCACCACAACATAAATTTTGCTTCTTTCTACCATGTTATTTACAGCGCTACAACATAAATTTTGCTTCTTTCTACCATGTTACTTACAAAACTACAACATAAATTTTGCTTCTTTCTACCATGTTACTTACAGCGTTACAACATAAATTTTGCTTCTTTCTATCATGTTACTTACAACACTACAACATAAATTTTGCTTCTTTCTACCATGTTACTTGCAACACTACAACATAAATTTTGCTTCTTTCTACCATGTTACCTACAACACTACAACATAAATTTTGCTTCTTCCTACCATGTTACCTACAACACTACAACATAAATTTAGCTTCTTTCTACCATGTTACCTACAACACTACAACATAAATTTTGCTTCTTTCTACCATGTTACTTAGGTGGGGGAAGTCATAAAAGTCACCAAAATGAACATCAATGGACAATGGGAAGGAGAGTTGAGGGGCAAAACTGGACATTTTCCTTTTACTCACGTAGAGTTCATCGACTCTGAAAATTCAGAAGATGATGAGTCCTAATTACTTCTATAGTGAATGTTTTTAGCACAGCAAGAAAGACTGTGACTTTCTTCAGTGATGCAAATAAGACTGAGTGTTATGTTTCTCAGCATCAAGCAAGCTTACATTTTTTTTGTAGGCTTTCAGTTCTTGCCTCCATTCTTTGTTCACACCATCAATTCAACATTAAGCATATATGTGTTTATGTACAACTATACTTCTATCTTTGGAACACACACACCTTGTAACAAACTTAGCTTTAATAATAGTGTTACTATGTAGTCTTGTGTACAAATCAATGGCATCATCAGTGACATATAATGATTGTATCTTTTGGGATTTTATACATTATCATGCTTTTTTTTTTCATTGTTAATTTTCTTTTCTTGGTTGTAGAAGAATTGTTTGAGATGTACAGCCGGTTGAAAAGTTTAGTTGCTTGCCCTATATTTCTGTCAAAAAGAGAGTTGATAAAGATCTCAAATTGAGATTTTTGATGAAGCAGAACATAGCCTAACCAGTGTTTAAGGCATGTGTGATATTGGATAAGCACTATAATCATTTAGGACATACAGATTCATTTATTTTCAGTTTTAATTTTAAGCAGTGCAGGTGTATGGTTTGTGAATGTGTGGCATAGTAGTTGTTTTGAACGTTTTAGTTACTAAAGATGTGAGCTTATTGTTTTTCACTCTGTATAAAATTAATTTGTTGAAGTCAGCTGTTATCCACAAGAAAAGTCATATAAGTATTCATATTTCAAACGAATCATTTTTATGTATCAATGGACAGAACATTATATAATTATTATATACAATTAATGATACCCTTTATGACTATTATATATTTTTATGTACAATGAATGAAAGTTGTTTTCCAGACTTTTTGATATCTTAGGAAAGAAAAAAAAAATTAAAAGTAGCTTCTGTTTCTTTAAGAAATAATTTCACAAATATTTCATATTTTGTTTGACTTTCTTCTTATGAGATGTCGTAACTTATTTAATTGATTATAAAGGAAGATCAAAAGATTTACATTATAAATAAAAAAAAAGAGTATTAATTGAATGTTTTTCTTCAATGATGCACTGTATATGAAGAAAAACTAAAAATATCTTGTGTGGTACAAAGTCTCAGCTAAATATCTGATAACTTAAAGGGAGACATACTGTATATAATAAATTGCTAGGAAACCACATTCAGTGAATATTTCTGTTTCTCTTTCTTTCTCAAAATATACCAGTAGTATTCTTCTCTTGAGCTTTAACTTTGTATCTTATCAATATGCCACCATTGTCTCCATAATATTAATAATTGCAATATACAGAACTTGCTTTAAAATTGGGGGAAAAAAGATTAAGGGTCAAAATATATTCATCCCTCGCTGGGACAGCAGTAAGTCTAAGGATTTATAATGCTAAAATCAGGGGTTCAATTCCCCTCGGTGTGCACAGCAGATAGCCCGATATGGCTTTGCTATAAGAAAAACATACATAATATATTCATCTATAACCAATTTTCTGGTTATCCCCTGTTGACTAAGCAATAAGGCTGAGGCCTTATAACACTAAGAATTTGGTTTTGATACTTGCAAGTGGCATAGTGGAGATAGCCCTCTGTGTAGCTAGCTTTGTGCTTAATAACAATCTAACAAAAAAAGTTGTTTTCAGTATTGTTTTGTCGTGGTAGAATGTAGAAAAGTGAATGGTCAGTTGTATTTTATTTTATGGAATTTAAAGTCTCTTTTTTTTTATTTATGCTTGTAAAAAATGAAGATGCAATACTAGTGATCAGGAAAGAATAATTGAATTGTTGTTTTATTCTCTCTGTATGCATTAACGAGATTCCCACTGTCCCTATCTATTATCTAGCAAAACCACAGCCAAGGGAACTGGCTTGGAAAATTCATGTGTGTGCATGCATGCGTGTGTTTTTATGTGTGTAAAATTATATATATAAAGAGAGAAAGGGAGGAGTGCTTCATACTTCATGTATAATAATTTCTAAAGAGGGTTTTTTTTCCCCTTGAGAGACATTCTATATTAAGTACTTATACAAGAAGGGTCTTTGGTGGATCAGCATTAGGTTTCTTGATTTACAACTCTAAACTTCAGGATTTCATTCCCTGTGGTGGATAGATGCATTTGGTATAGTTGCCTACAAGGGCTGACTTGCCACCTTTAATCTCCAGAATGTTTTGGTATAGTTGCCTACAAGGGCTGACTTGCCACCTTTAATTTCCAGAATGTTTTGGTATAGTTACCTACAAGGGCTACTCGCCACCTTTAATCTCCAGAATGTTTTGGTGTAGTTACCTACAAGGGCTGACTCGCCACCTTTAATCTCCAGAATGTTTTGGTATAGTTGCCTACAAGGGCTGACTCGCCACC